CACTACACACAACAATACAGATATATGCCATATATATAGCCAACATATCCATGTATATATTACTGTACATGCATTCATATATGTGTTTAAGTATGTATATATATTGTTATGTTGTATATATCAATATATGTATAATATATATGCATATGCACATATATATTTATATATGCACACATACAGATACACACACACACATGCATATATACATATATATGTATGTATGTATACACATATACCACGTATATATATATATATATATATATATATATATATTATATAATATGTATATTTATATATAATATACATATTTATGTATATTCATATATATACATATTTATATAATCATATATATACTAAATATATACACGCATGCATATGTATATATATATATATATATTACACATATGTATAAATATATTTTATACTCGTACTGACTATTAATCATTTACCAGGACAATCATTGATAGGTTAAGGTAAATCATTGACAAGATTATTTTCTTTCATATATTTTCAAAAGATAGAGTATTTCATTGTTTTGCTAACATGACTATGCTTTTCAAGTGTGAACACAAGGCATGGCAGGTGTCAACACTTCACCCGAGACATCCCAAATCTATGATCAAGCTTTCCGCTTCCTTTATGTGAAAGTCAAGCGAATGTTCGGGCAAGTGCTCTACACACCAGGTCCACACAAGCGACTGTGAGTGAAGGAGCTCGTGGCACTCAGTTGAGCACGCGGTAGGAGGTGGCGTGGCTGGGGTTGTGGACCACACGGAGGAGCTCGGCGTCACGGAGGGCGGGTCCGGCGGCGGCGGCGTAGGTGGTGGGGACGTGGGCGGCGTTGTAGGTGGTGAGGGCGGGATGGGCGGCAGTGTAGTGAAGAGGAGAAGCATAGGCTGTTGGGTGGGCGTAGTGGAGGGGAGCGGAGAATCCGTAGGAGAAACGGAGAGGAGAGTAGACGCCAAGACCGGGAGCCGCAAGGACGGAGCGCTTCTTGCGGGTGTCTGGGGCGGCAGCGGCAGCGGCTGCGGCTTCGTCATAGGCCTGTTGGTGGGCGGCCTTAGCGGCTGCTACCTCTGGGGTGTCCTGGACGGGTTCGGGAAGGGGACCGGGAAGGGCGGCCAGAGGGGCAGTTACAGGGGCGTCGGGAGCCACTGGCAGGTTGGTGCCGGACACGGAATCCAAGGGCGTCGGCGACGTAGTGCTGAGTCTGAACCTTTCCCTCAGAGTCCACGTAGTTGTATGAACCACGGACAACACCGAAGGCGTCGCGAGACTCAGCGCGTGAAGAAGGACCGCCGGCGTAACCGAAGGAGTACTGACCGATCTCATCCTGAGCGTGGTACTGAGACTGGATAGGTGCTACAGGTGCGAAGGGAGCTACGTTGTAAGCAAGAGGAGCGGCAGCGACGTTGTATGTGATAGGTGCAGGAGCGACGGTCTTAACTACAGGTGTTTTGAGGGTGATAGGAGCAGCTGCAGGAAGGACACCTGCGTATGAGTAAGGGTGCAGACCAGAATATCCTGCATAAGGATAGGCGCCAAGAAGGCCGTGATGGCCTCCATATACGCCGTTGTACGCAAGCAAGGAGGCGCTACCGCTAGCCACGAGGGCCGCCACCAAAATCACAGTCTGGAAGGAAACAATCTTTGGTCAGAAACACACTTTTGACGTATTCGTCTCACTAGCCTCATGATTATAAAATCACACAAAATTATGCATTACAAAATCCACTGTTTGGCGCTTACCAGAGCATTCATGTTGACCCACCGTCGAGGAGCTGTCTGTCGGGAAAAGCGGCAGCCGTCCCTTATATACCTGTGGGAGTCCAGACCATCAGCTGATGGCGATGGGATGGGCGGGGCACTACCTTTCAAGTTCGAGTATACCCATTGGCGGAAATCTAGATATATATTTTTTAATCTTTTTGCCTTCATTTTAGCCATGAGAGACTCATGAATGGTAGATATGATACCATAAGCCCAAAAGGCATCATGAGGACGGGCAAATAAAGGAAAAAGAAGAAAAGAAAGAAGAAAAAAATGAAGGACAAAATAAACAAACAGACTGGGGCGAGGTGCTCATTGAGAAAGTAAGAGTCCCCTGCCTGAATATTTCAAGGTCTAACAATACCATAGTCATTTCACATTCTGTTGGTTGCTGGGTTATTATTATTTTTTAATAACTGACTTTAAGAATTATAAAAGAATATTGAGAGCGTTAGACGAAACCGCAAATAAAGCAAACAAGAAAATTATTTACTATAGTTGTTTCAGATTCTTATGCCATATTATGACTAGCTTTCTATCTTTGAAAATACGCGCATAACCTTACAATAATTAATTAAACATATACAAAAATGAATCAGAAGCTTGCAAGAGAGATAAATGCTATATGAAATGGGTTTTCGTCAAACAGTGAAAACTATCATTGGAAAATAAAAATGAGAACAATACCCCGATGAAAATATTAAAATGTCATATTGAGATGGACCGCTACTTCAACATTCTTAAAAAGAATATATAAATATATTCTGCTACTTCAAAACTCGTAAAAAATATCACATGTATATATATTCTGCTACTTCAACATTCTTATAAAGAATATATATGTATATTCAGCTACCTAAATATTTTTAAAAAGAATATATACATACACATATATACATAGTACAGTATGCATATATATAATCATAGTACATCAGGTTAGTTGTAGAAAAGTCAGAACCAATTTTTTAGAAAATAAAAGTCTACTGATTTTAACGAAAAAATAACAAGCAGCTAACCACGAATCACTAACCATTATTGGCTGAACTCCATTTGCTTCAACCACTGTATCAAAACAGGTAGAATATAATAATTGATTTCATGAAATAGATAAAATTTAAAAATCAAGAGCTTTCGACGTGTTATAGGTTAATAGATGAAAAAATGTATATAATTGTTTTTATTTTCTTTTATCTATGATGAAATTATTAAATTTGTTTACCCAAGCAAGCGCTCATCAGCACCGCCCTTCTGAAATCCATTAATATTTTGCGAAACACTGCAACAGCTGGTCTAATACAAAGTCAGTTGTCAAAACCTCAAAATTCTTGCCCATCACGTAATTCGTTCATATTTTAGTATATTCCATATTTTTTATGAACACATATAACTATACGTATGTGAATATGTACACTTGTCTATTTGTCTATTTACCTAACCTACCTATCTATATTTCTATTTCTTTGTCTATTTATTTGACTATCTTCCTACTTGTCTATTTGTTTCTCTATCCCTATCTTTTATATATTGCTTATCTATCTTTGTAAATGCTTGTAATATATATCTATATTCTATATTTCGCTTATTCTTCTTTCTATTTTCAAAGTAAGTTTGCATCGCTTATTGTTCTTGAGAAGAAAATTAAGATTCTTTTACTTTTTATCGTCGTTGTTCGCGTGAAAACTGTTTTTTTTTTCACCGTTATTTATCTAACGTTATCTTCTATGCTTAAAATAGTCTACACTCAAGCTACTTTACTTCTAGGTTTTACTACGGAGATTTTCGTATGGTAAAGCTTTCTTTGCCTGATTATGAAGATGAATGAATAATCATATGACAAAAGGAAGGTATATCCCAAACGAGAAAATAACATCACATTATTGAGAACTCGGATCTGTGGCACCATTTCTTAGCGAGAAGAAAAAAAGAATCCAAACCGACAAAAACTTTGCCATTGGTCTAAATTTTCTTTATAGCATTTACCTCCTGCTTTTTATTATTCTCTTGTTTTATGCTTCTTTAGAACGGTGATTCTCCGCCAAGGTAACGCAGACCATTGCATTGGGCTCCGGAATGAAAGGTGCTATTGCTACAATAGTAACATAAGCGATTCGGACGAGTGAGAGTATCATGCAGTTGGCTTTGACTGCTGTGCGGCATTTCGCTTATGACACACACACACACATACATATATGTGCATATATATGTATGTGTGTGTGTGTATGCATATGTATGTATATGCATACATGGACATATGTATACATATATACATATATACATGCATATACATGTAGTTATGAATATACATACATATATATCTATATGTCTATATCTACCTATCTATATATATATACGCTCTTTGCGTCAGGATGATAGGTTGCCTCTACTATCGAGGGAACTGGGGAGGCTGAGAGTTGGGGTGGCTGCTCTCTCTGAGGTGAGAAGACCTTGCAGCGGCATGATCAGTGTAGGTAGCTACTACTGGTCAGGCGGCAGCGATGGTCACCATCTTCAGGGAGTAGCCGTAGCTATCTCCAGTAGGCTCCAGCCCTCGGTGATAGTGGTTACTCCAGTCGTTGAGCGTATAATGGTATTGAGACTGAAGCTAATATGTGGCTTCATGTGTTTTATTGCCAAAGATGCTTGCCGTGCGGCTCGCCTGACAGGGGATCGGGATTTGCACCGTTTTCAGGTGCGTAGAACTCGGTCTCTGTTAAGAAGGGACAAGGAACAGTTTATTAGGAGTCTTGCCGAGGAGGTCGAAGGCCATTTCTTAGTAAATGACCTTCGACCTGCATACCAAGCCCTGAGAAAGCTGAACTCCAAGCCCTCTTCACAGGTGATAGCAGTTTGCTTAGTAACTGGCCAGATCATCTCAGATCCTGTTGCAGTGCGGGAGTGTTGGGCTGAGTATTTTGAGCAGTTGTACCAGGTTGACCCACCAATAGTTAACTTGGATGCGGGTAGTGCCGTGATTCCGTTGCCGGACCCACCCATCAGTGAGGATCCACCCTCCCTAACTGAAGTTAAGGAGCCAATATCCAAGCTGAAGAGTGGCAAAGCAGCGGGTATTTGCGGCATTCCAGCTGAACTGTTAAAGGCTGGTGGTGAACCTATGGCATGGGGATTGCATACTGCCTGGCTGCTGTGTGTGTGGTCATCCATCTCTGGAAGGGGAAGGGGGGCCGATGGAACTGCAGCAACCACTGAGGCATCACACTGCTCAGTATATCAGTCAAGGTTCTTGCCCACATCCTTCAGAGACGCATCAGAGGCCGGAACATTCTGGATTCACTCCTGATAAGTCCACAATAGACCGTATCCTTGCGCTTCGAGTCATTGTTGAGCGCCGTCGTGAGTTGGGCTGGCTGCTCGTAGCCTACATTGACCTCAAGGTGTTCGATACGGTGTATCGGGAGTCACTCTGGGAGATCCTGAGAATGAGAGGAATTCCAACAAGGATTATTGAACTAATAGCAATGTGTATATATACACACATGTATATGTTTATATGTATATATACATATATATGTATATATATGAACATATATATTTATATATGTATGTATTGATCTACATATAGATCTACACACACACACACACACACATATATGTATATACTAAAGGTGGATCAGCTATCGTCATCCGCGGTTTTCCATTGTTTAGCATCTGCATGCACTGTGTGTGTGTGTGTATGTGTGCGTGATGGGGGTGGTGAGGGCGAGAGAGATAAAGAGCGCTAAAGGGGGCCGTCGCGCTCGAGGGCAAAGTTCGTCAGTTATGATCGGATATTCGTGATTTTTTAATATGTTACACATAAATATAAAGTGATAAACACCACCAAGATTCGTATCATTTGGCTAATAAATAATTAAGTTATTAACGAAAAAGTTTTTGAACAATCACAGCCTCTTTATAAACGCACTTATCCATTGAACAATCTTGAAAAAATACCACCTATAGTCTATAGCAATACCTATAAGTTGCAAGGACCGGACTTTTAAATTTCGTTTTAGTTTAGTGGGAATTATTTTTTTTTTTTCTAAAAGTCTAGTCTTATGAACATCACAATATGATATATGGACTACTATTACCTAAAAAGAAAATTTTGTCTAAGAAAATCATCGCAAATATATTCAGCTTTTAAATGATCCAAACCCCATTAGAATCGCCCAATTATTTATGGATGAATTAAAAAATTGCTGACAATGCTGAAATTTTGGATTTCCCTCGATTTTTTTTTTTTTTTTTTTTTTTTTTTTTTTTTTTTTTTTAGAATTCTAATCCATGCAGCAATCGTGCTGCATTCTATTGCGTTCACATAGTATTCTGAAGTGTAGCTGGTACATTGTCCCCCCCTTTTGCAAAGTACTAGTGGCAATAGCTGCAAATTATTGTAGAAATTCCCGTTGGACCACATGGTTTATAAGGCCTAACCTGACGACGTGAGGTATTTAAATGTATAAACAACTGCTGCAGTTGCGATTTAGAAGTATTTCCTATCACATTACGTTTATTATATACTAAACTAACATCTACAATTAATAGTGTACCCTTACTGTGTGATGAGGCTGTACGTCTGCGGTATGGTGTCATGGAGCTTGGAGCTGGAAACCTTTCTTTCTGATTTTCTGGTGGATTTTTTTTTGTCCCAGAGCCCCAGTCTTGGTAATCAACTGATGGGTAAACAGAGTTCCCAGCTAGCTACCAGAGAATTCCAATGTAAACCGAAAAAATACGAAAAAAAAAATTGTCGAGTAAATTTTCACGGACGTGACAATGTAAACATCGGAGCGGGGGTCGGGGGGGTCGGAGATTTAGTCATAACTCCTTTACTTTTACATATTTAGCAAAAATATTACGTCACGAGATTGCCAAAGCCCAATAGATTACAGGAAATAATAATAATAAAAAAATCGAGTATTTTTGAAAATTTTCGTTGCGACGGCACCCTAAGGGAGAGCGTGTAAGAAAAGGTTAAAGAAAAATGAGTGATTGAAAAGCGAGAAAGAGTAGAGATAAAAACAGAAGTACAAGTACATTTCGATAAAAAGGAATCACTCTGGGATTTAGGCAGACGAGATAGATAATTTTTTTGTGATTATTTTCTTCTATAGTGTTTTATCATATACGAATGCACACGTAAAGGCACACATTCTAGAAACATTTGTGATTTGTAAGTAAAAGCAATCATGGTTGCGAATGCTAATATTTCAGGCAAATTAATTACTTGTTACTTTCTCACTATGTATTTACAAGATTCCATAATAGCATAATTATAATGATGCTATATTTCTTAATATCATTGACATGACTGCGCTCTTTGAATGTATATAGTATGACATGGCAGGTGTCAACACTACACCCATGATACACATCGTAAAGGGTTTCGCTTTACGGACATAAAAGTCAAATGAATGTTCGGGCGAGTGCTCTACACACCAGGTCCACACAAGCGACTGTGAGTGAAGGAGCTCGTGGCACTCAGTTGAGCACGCGGTAGGAGGTGGCGTGACCGGGGTTGTGGACCACACGGAAGAGCTCGGCGTCACGGAGGGCGGGTCCGGCGGCGGCGGCGTAGGTGGTGGGGACGTGGGCGGCGTTGTAGGTGGTGAAGGTGGGATGGGCGGCAGTGTAGTGAAGGGGAGAAGCATAGGCTGTTGGGTGGGCGTAGTGGAGGGGAGTGGAGAATCCGTAGGAGAAACGAAGAGGAGAGTAGACGCCGAGGCCGGGAGCCGCAAGGACGGAGCGCTTCTTGCGGGTGTCTGGGGCGGCAGCGGCAGCGGCTGCGGCTTCGTCATAGGCCTGTTGGTGGGCGGCCTTAGCGGCGGCTACCTCTGGGGTGTCCTGGACGGGTTCGGGAAGGGGACCGGGAAGGGCGGCCAGAGGGGCAGTTACAGGGGCGTCGGGAGCCACTGGCAGGTTGGTGCCGGACACACGGAATCCAAGGGCGTCGGCCACGTAGTGCTGAGTCTGAACCTTTCCCTCAGAGTCCACGTAGTTGTATGAACCACGGACAACACCGAAGGCGTCGCGAGTCTCGGCGCGTGTAGAAGGACCACCGGCGTAACCGAGGAGTACTGACCGATCTCGTCTTGAGCGTGGTACTGAGACTGGATAGGTGCTACAGGTGCGAAGGGAGCTACGTTGTAAGCAAGAGGAGCGGCAGCGACGTTGTAAGATACAGGTGTAGGAGCGACGGTCTTAACTACAGGTGTTTTGAGGGCGATAGGAGCAGCCGCATGAAGGACACCTGCGTATGAGTAAGGGTGCAGACCAGAATAACCTGCATAAGGATAGGCGCCAAGAAGGCCGTGATGGCCTCCATATACGCCGTTGTATGCAAGCAAGGAGGCGCTACTGCTAGCCACGAGGGCCGCCACGGAAATCACAGTCTGAAAAGTAGAATCCATCTATCAGAATCATATTTTTGAAATTATGTACTGTTGGAGTGAAAAGTTATTGAGATATTCACAGAAATTTCCGAGTCGTAGAGCTTACCAGAGCATTCATGTTGACCCACCGTCGAGGAGCTGTCTGTCGGGAAAAGCGGCAGCCGTCCCTTATATACCAGCGGACGTCCAGACCATCAGCTGATGGCGATGGGATGGGCGTGGTTCTACCTTTCACATCCGGATATGTCTATGGGTGAAAATATAGAAAACATGGAATGAACAATCCTGAGAATGAGACTGAGAACTATGACACAAGTCATGAATAATATGTGCTATGACCTCTGAGATCAGAACTGGTAATGTCCCGAAAACATTTAAAATGTATACATATAAAAATGTATACACATGCGTGTGTATCTCTACATATGTATGTATATATGTAATGTAATATATACTTATATATAGAGAAAACTATTCATTTTTCTCTTTCAAAAAGGCAAGATAATGTTAGTAATTAGAGATGGGCAGTAACGGAATACATGCAACTGCGATATGTATCGATCGATACATTTATATTGGTATCGGTATCGCCTTAGCTTCTCAATAACGGTTTCGTTTTACTGGCATCGCTATGGTGTTTTTCTCAAGCCGTATCGAAAAAATAGATACTGGTGCATTTACATAACTCTCTCATTATCTCACTGACTTTCTTTCAATCTACCCCCTCTCTCTCCTCCCTCCATCTCTCACACACCCTATGTCTGCCCCACTACCTCTATCTCTCCCCCTCTCTTTTTCTCCCCTCCCTCTCTCACTCTCTATCTCTCATTTCATTTTATCACTCTTTCTTTCTTGTTTTCATTTATTCATTCTCGCGTCATCTCTCTTATTTTTTTTCTCTGTCTTTCACACACTCGCTCACTCCTTCGCTCCCTCTCTGCTTCATACAGTCTCTCTCCCTCTCCCTCTCGCTTTCTCACTCTCTGACTCCATCTCTCTCTCTCTCATCCCCTGTCTCTCTCAGACTATTTACTTATTAACCTATCTGTCTGTGTGTGATTCTCTTTCTTTCACTCCCCTCTCTCTAGTCTACCTCTTCACCTATCCCTTTGTGTTTCTCTCTCTCAGCCCCCCCCCTTTCTGACTCGATTTGTTAGTATGTGTTTGTGTTTCTCTCTCTCACCTCTTCTCCCTCTGACTCTGTCTACCAATTCACCTATCTGTTTGTTTGTGTTTGTTTCTCTCTCTGACTCTGTCTACCTATTCACCTGTGTTTGTTTCTCTCTCTCTCACCCCCTCTCTCTTTGACTCAGTTTACCTATTTACATATCTGTGTGTTTGTTTCTTTCTCTCTCTCTGACTCTGCCTACCCATTCATCTATCTGTTTGTGTGTGTTTATTTCTTTCTCTCACCCCTATCTACCTATTCAAGTTTCTTCTCTTTCCCCTTCTCTCTTTGACTCTCTCTCTACCTATTTACCTATCTGAGGTTCCAAACCTTTGTGTCACGAGTTCCCTCCCTCCGTCATATGAAAAAGTGCATTAATTTTTTCACAATACCTTCGCATATCCGATCGCCGCGATTTTGGTATCGATGGATTCCTGCCACCGTCTACTTCACATAAACGGAGGAATTATGTCGCGCAACCCCCTGAAACCCCCCTTTCTTGGACCCGATAGCAGGGGAGAGCATAAAATGTACCAGGAAATTGTGGGGTAAACTAACAATAACATAACATAGTGATGATAATACCTCATTATGTTGCTGAATGCGTCCCTGTCGCCCTAATCAAAGCTGAGAAACACAAAAATCCTCCAGGAATTCACCTCAGGATAGAGCGTGCGATCTATATGCGGGGCGAACACGGCAGTGTGTACCTAGCAATTATAAGGCACAAACCTGATTGATGGATGCCGCTGAGCTGTGGGCTCGCAGCTGGGACACTGATTCTCTCATACATGATGGATTCTTTGTCCTCCAGGGCAGAGGTTGGTGGGCGACAGCCCCCTAGAGGGAGGGGGTCGCATTATACATTGGAGTGACTTATTCATCGTATATTATTACTATAGTTACGTGTCCACTGTATTCTACTTATGTTTTACTCCGCAATTTCCCGTTACCTTTCATGCCCTCCCTTATTATCGAGACCAATATTATCGGTAATGGGGGGGGCGCAGCATAATTTCGATATATTTGGATAGTAGAGAACGAATGGAAACCGTCGATACCAAAATCGGTTATGTGATGATATTCTAAAAAAAAAAAAAAAAAAAAAAAAAAAGTACCAAAGCGTATTTTCAAATGCCCCACAAAATATGCAAAGACTTTTTCAGTCCAGTCAAATATTAGTGTTCGAGTACCTTAGTAACCACTTTAATCAATTAATTTCTAGAAATTTAAATTTTTAGGGGAATATAATGGTTACACTCAAACACATTCATATGAATATATTACTGAAGTAGTTTTAGTCGTAGAATCCTAAGAAATAACTTTAGTGTGTCATCAGACTGCCATAAACAGACAATTCATGTTTGAATACTTGATATGAAATATTTACATTGGAAAAGAAACTTACTCGAGTAAACACACACACACACATCTGTATATATGTGTGTGCGGTAGAAGGAATAACAATGCACACACTAGATTTATTAAAATAAATGAAGCAAGAGTTTCGGAATCCTCCTGAAATCCATCTTCAGGTTTGAAGGGAGAGGGAAGAGCAAGAAGTATGAAAAAGAGAAAGAGGCAACATGTCGAAGACAGGCAGGTGAGGACACGAGACCAGAAGCGAAGGGAGACCAGGTCAGGTCGGAGGATCAGGCGGTATGTGCGAAGGATGGCCGGCATAAGGGTGAAGGCGGAGGATGTGGGAAGCGGCGAGACTGTCGGCAGGAGGAAAGCCACTGTACAAGTAAAAATTAGGCAGCAGCTTGATTGGACATCAGCAGAAAGGAAGACAGTGCACGTTGCTGACGGATCCATACGGATATGCAACAAAGTCTTCTCTGGTTATATAATCTGAATGGGACAGTTTGCCCAGAAACGTCACTAATAGTGTTTCTCGTCTAAAATGGAATCGATTCTTGTAAAACGAGACATTTAACTGACGAATTACTGGTTATGCCAACGCTAACACAAGCGTTGGCAATTAGCAATGCGTAGCTGATGGAGCAGAAATGAGATGAACATAAGATGATGATGAGATGAATAGCAGGATATAATTTCATATAGATTTCTATTTTTTATATTCATTTGATATGACATTTCTTTGTTACTGGGGTTAATTTACCACATATATATTTGATTTCTTAGAAATGACTTTTACTTTCAACAATAACATTTTCATTGTTTATGAAGGTTAGCATGGAAAGTGAAAACGCTTGACTTTACTGATGTACATTTTCATAAAAAAAAAAGTCTTTACGAATTCAAGTTTTAACGAAAGAAAATATTCAGCAGCAATTGATTGTTTTTTCTTCATATATGGTATGCGGGAACACTAGGTTCTCGTCTACCCAAACCTTTTCTTCTTTTACCTTTTCATCAAGAAATATATATCTTAATCTTTATAAAAGATGTATATATCATTGAAATGTTCTGTTTCCAACAGCAGACCTGGGAATTAACGTCAGTTGAGAAGGGTGAAACATATAATTTAGATATTTGTTTATTTATCAGAAATGTATTTTACATTGTGATTTACATGATAAGCTTTATACATTGTGTGGGCCAACATGGGAAGTGTCAACACTCGACCTGAAGAAACCTTTGACAGGCATCATGCATCGCCAAGGAATTCCTGGCGACATGTGTGCTGGTCAAAGGTGAGACCGAGGCGAGTGCTCTACACACCAGGTCCACACAGCGCGTCTGTGAGTGAAGGAGCTCGTGGCACTCAGTTGAGCACGCGTAGGAGGTGCGTGACCGGGGTTGTGGACCACACGGAGGAGCTCGGCGTCACGAGGGCGGGTCCAGCGGCCGCGGCGTAGTGGTGGGGACGTGGGCGGCGTTGTAGGTGGTGAAGGCGGGGTGGGTGGCAGTGTAGTGAAGAGGAGAAGCATAGGTTGTTGGGTGGGCGTAGTGGAGGGGAGTGGAGAATCCGTATGAGAAACGGAGGGGAGAGTAGACGCCGTGGGCGGGAGCCGCAAGCACGGAGCGCTTCTTGCGGGTGTCTGGGGCGGCAGCGGCGGCGGCTGCGGCTTCGTCATAGGCCTGTTGGTGGGCGGCCTTAGCGGCTGCTACCTCTGGGGTGTCCTGGACGGGTTCGGGAAGGGGACCGGGAAGGGCGGCCAGAGGGGCAGTTACAGGGGCGTCGGGAGCCACTGGCAGGTTGGTGCCGGACACACGGAATCCAAGGGCGTCGGCGACGTAGTGCTGAGTCTGAACCTTTCCCTCAGAGTCCACGTAGTTGTATGAACCACGGACAACACCGAAGGCGTCGCGAGTCTCAGCGCGTGAAGAAGGACCGCCGGCGTAACCGAAGGAGTACTGACCGAGTTCATCCTGAGCGTGGTACTGAGACTGGATAGGTGCTACAGGTGCGAAGGGAGCTACGTTGTAGGACACAGGTTTAGGAGCCACGTTGTAAGATACAGGTGCAGGAGCTACTGTCTTAACTACAGGTGTTTTAAGGGAGAGAGGAGCAGCTGCAGGAAGGACACCTGCGTATGAGTAAGGGTGCAGACCAGAATATCCTGCATAAGGATAGGCGCCAAGAAGGCCGTGATGGCCTCCATATACGCCGTTGTATGCAAGCAAGGAAGCGCTGCCGCTAGCCACGAGGGCCGCCACGGAAATCACAGTCTGAAATGTAAAATCCATTTATCAGAAACATTTTTGTAATCACATTGTCGAGGTGAAAGATATCACTGAAATATACACAAGAAAATTCCTTGTAGAGCTTACCAGAGCATTCATGTTGACCCACCGTCGAGGAGCTGTCTGTCGGGAAAAGCGGTAGTCGTCCCTTATATACCTGTGGACATCCTGACCAACCATTGATGACGATGGGCGGGGCTCCTTGTTCCACATCCGGATACGTGTATGGGTGCGAATATAGACAGAATGGTATAAAGAAATTTGAAAATGAGAGTGAGAACTAAGACATGATCAATACGTGATATGACTAAGAACAGAACTGGCGATATGTCGGAAACACGCTTGTCAAAATGTATACATGTATAATATATGCGGAATTATGTATGTATACTTATGTTTGTATATATGTAACGTATATTTGTATATATATGTATATATATATATAGATAGAAAGTTATTCATTGGTATCTTTAGGAAAGGCAAAATGATGTTAGTTATAATTCATTTTAATTTCTGTTTTTTTTCTCTTATCTTAGTGGGGTCTTTAACAAGAAACATACTTATGTCAAACACATATATGTCGTAAGTGAAATAGATACACTACTGTACACTCATGGAAAAGATTAACTGTTAGTAGTTTTCGTGCGCCTGTCTTGTATGTTATATTTTCCCTATTTAGTGAAAATTGAATAGTATTTTTTTCAAACTGTGATTTTGCCTTTGTATTTGTTATACGGGGATTCGTTTTCGCCATAATGAATATCTTTGCTATCAGAGTCGTGTTTCTAGTAATACCAACAGCTATAAGAAAGCTGAATCAAAACGAATGGACGGCAGAATAATGAAAATACGGTGTATAGTGCTCATTAAACAAAACTAACTGGCGGGAGTGATCCTTGTATGCTATGTAGGAACAGTAACTTGACGGCATAAGCCAACCTTTGTGTCGCTACTTCCTTCCAAATGCGTCGCGTAATATTCTGCACTGAGAAAGTGTATAGATAAAAATATTCTTTAAAAATAATCAAGAAAGGAGGGCGTGTTCTTGTTATATATATATATATATATATATATATATATATATATATATATTATATATATATGTATATATATATTATCTTGGTAACAATTTAAACTGATTTACAAAAATCTACATTTTCTAGTGAATATAGTAACTACACATACAACTCATTCATATGAACATACTGAAGTAGTTGGTGCGTCGTAGAAGCCTAGGGAACAATTTCAGTGTGTCGTTAGAATGCATGTTGAGTACCACTGCCTTTTTTTTTTTTTTTTTTTTTTTTTTTTTTTTTTGTAAATACCCATGTATATATCAAATGAATGTTTTTACAGACAGTGATACCGAATTGTTCGTCCAGAAACTTCACTGTTACAATGTTTTTCAGCCTAATATGGCTTCGATTCATATCACAAAACTTTCAACTGACGAATTACTGCATATGCCAACGCTAGAAAAGAAAAAAAAAAAAAAAAGGCATTGATCATGAAATGATTTAAACATATGACAAGCTCCGCGGAGATAAGTGACGATGAGATAACTTGTAGGATATGATCTTATATAGATTTATTTAGTTTTTATTACTATATTTATTTGATATGATATCAATTAGCAATTTGGTGTTATTCACCACATATGCATATTTTCTTTATAGAAATGTCTGCATATTGATTTCAGCAATAACACTTTTCTTACAAAGGCTAGCATAGAAAGTGTAAACACTCGAATTTGCGTATTTTACATTTTTATATAATATACATGTATATATATATGTATATATAAACATATTAATTGAAGCTAATGAAATTATTTAAACATATGACACACTTCGCGGATATGAGTGACGTTGAAATAACTTGCAGGATAGGATTTTATATAGATTTATATTTGTGTTTTATTACTAAATTTATTTGAAATGATATTAGTAATTTGGTGTTACTCATCATATATGCATATTCTTTTCTAGAAATATGAGTGCATATTGATTTAAAAAATAACAATTTTCTTACGAAGGCTAGCATGGAAAGTGCAAACACTCGAATTTGCGGATTTACATTTTCGTATATATATATATATATATATATAATATATATATATATATATTATATTATAGTTTCAATACGAATTCAAATTTGAATGAAAAAGAAAATTGTGCCAAAATATATGGATACTCAACAGTAGTTTGTATTCTTTTTATACGGTATGTGGGAAGAATAGGTTCTTGTTCTTTTTGGTTAAGCAGAATGAACGTCAGGTGAAAAGGATCAAATAACTATAATTTAGAAGATTTGTTTATTTTCAGAAATAAATCCTACATTGCAATTTACATGGTTGCTTTGTACCTTATGTGGGCTAACATGGGAAGTGTCAACACTCGACCTGAACACCTTTGAAGCATCATGTATCGCCAAGGAATTCCTGGCGACATGTGTGGTCAAAGGTGAGAACCGAGGCAAGTGCTCTACACACCAGGTCCACACAAGCGACTGTGAGTGAAGGAGCTCGTGGCACTCAGTTGAGCACGCGGTAGGAGGTGGCGTGACCGGGGTTGTGGACCACACGGAGGAGCTCGGCGTCACGAAGGGCGGGTCCAGCGGCCGCGGCGTAGGTGGTGGGGACGTGGGCGGCGTTGTAGGTGGTGAAGGCGGGATGGGCGGCAGTGTAGTGAAGAGGAGAAGCATAGGCTGTTGGGTGGGCGTAGTGGAGGGGAGTGGAGAATCCGTATGAGAAACGGAGGGAGAGTAGACACCGTGGGCAGGAGCCGCAAGCACGGAGCGCTTCTTGCGGGTATCTGGGCGGCAGCGGCGGCGGCTGCGGCTTCGTCATAGGCCTGTTGGTGGGCGGCCTTAGCGGCGGCTACCTCAGGGGTGTCATGGACGGGTTCAGGAAGGGGACCGGGAAGGGCGGCTAGAGGAGCAGCTACAGGAGCGTCGGGAGCCACTGGCAGGTTGGTGCCGGACACACGGAATCCAAGGGCGTCGGCGACGTAGTGCTGAGTCTGAACTTTTCCCTCAGAGTCCACGTAGTTGTATGAACCACGGACAACACCGAAGGCGTCGCGAGACTCAGCGCGTGAAGAAGGACCGCCGGCGTAACCGAAGGAGTACTGACCGAGTTCATCCTGAGCATGGTACTGAGACTGGATAGGTGCTACAGGTGCGAAGGGAGCTACGTTGTAGGACACAGGTTTAGGAGCCACGTTGTAAGATACAGGTGCAGGAGCTACTGTCTTAACTACAGGTGTTTTGAGGGAGAGAGGAAGCAGCTGCAGGAAGGACACCTGCGTATGAGTAAGGGTGCAGACCAGAATATCCTGCATAAGGATAGGCGCCAAGAAGGCCGTGATGACCTCCATATACGCCGTTGTATGCAAGCAAGGAAGCGCTGCCGCTTGCCACGAGGGCCGCCACGGAAATCACAGTCTGAAATATAAAATCCATTTATCAGAAACATACTTTTAAAATTAAATTTGTCGAGGTGAAGATATCACTGAGATATCACAAGAAAATTCCATGTAGAACTTACCAGAGCATTCATATTGACCCACCGTCGAGGAGCTGTCTGTCGGGAAAAGCGGCAGCCGTCCCTTAAATACCTGTGGGAGTCCAGACCATCCGTTGATGACGATGGGATGGGCGGGGCTCTTCGCTCCACATCCGGTTTTGCCTAAAACTGTGGATACCGAACAAATGGGAAGAGCTATGAAAAATGATAGCGAAAGCTATAGAACGATTATGCACATTACAAGTAATTATGAATGATTAATACTGGTTGTAATTATCAATAATTAATATTGCTTGTAATTATCAATAATTAATATTGCTTGTAATTATTAATGAATAATAATGTTTGCAATTAATACTGTTTGAAATTATAAATAAATAAGAATACTGCTTATAATTAATGATTAATACTGCTTGTAATTGTTAATGATTAATACTGTTTGTAATTATTAATAATTAATACTGTTTGTAATTATTGATAGTTAATACTGCTTGAAATCATTAGTAAATCAGAATACTGCCTGTAATTATTTATGATTAACACTGCTTGTAATTATTAATAATTAAGAATACTGCTTGCAACTATTAATAATTAATACTGCTTGTAATTATTAATATTTCAGAATAATGCTTGTAAACATTAATAATCAATACTGCTTATGATTATAGATAATTAAGAATACTGATTGTAATAATTATTCAGAATACTTGAAACACATTAGGTTTCATTTTTATTGTTTATTTATTGATAAGGCAAAAGAGGACAAACACTTTTCTTATCAGGGATATTTTACAATTGAGTTACCCATTAAAAGTAAATTCCCCATGAATATTTATTTACAATATGTACAATGCTATATGCAAAATATGCAAGGAATATATGACCCGGAATTCCCCAGACGCATGTCTTGTAAATACTGTATGTGCTATTTGTCTCAATCCAGTATGCTGAAAATATCTTGAGTTGTATAATTTCACTTCCTATTTTAATAAATTGATTGCTGAATGACAGGTTTTATTCTTGATGTGTTTAATTGTCTGGGTTTCGTTTTCTAATGAATAAGGCTTTTATACTTTGGTGGAAAGATTCTTGTGCATTTTGTGCAAAGAGCTTACATCGACAAGGGAAATGAATATGAAAGAGAGTATGTAGGGTATGTGTTTGCATTTCCATACATTATACTGACTGCACTATATATACATACATATATATATATATATATATATATATATATATATATATACTAAATAGAACTTAGAACGTCGTTAGAGAACATAACTCGACGTCAGAAAGACCAAGTTTGCAAGCACATGAAACATCAGAACTGCGAAAGGAAACACCAGTTCGAGACAACCTATACTGCTTCCAGACCAGAAAACCGAAATTAATCATACTTAATTCCATTATCACCGCATGAGAGAAACGATATTTTTTATATATATAACTTCCTCCCTTTCGCTGTATTTCATGTCATAGACTGGCAAGTTTCTGGATATTAAGGAGGAACATTGACTCTAAGCACTGCCAAGATGAAACACAGGTGACCTTTATGAATCGTGTAGCGAATTTCGCGGAGATAAGAGATGATCGAATTTCTTTAGAGTTTGATATACATTGCAGGTTTCCTGATACGGACATATTACATTTGTTATAGAAGCACAGTTATGGATGTTAATTTACCATTAAGGTATTCTTCATGAATTATTTAGGTCATGACATAAAGGATATGCGATATTGCTTAAATAGGGTCGCATGGAAAATGTAAACTTCGTGGTTTTAAATCTTCGCTGAAAGTTTATTGTTCCGAACGAAAACTAATTCTAAGGTCCTGGAAAATATGACATTGATGAAGATTCACCAATGTTATATATCTTCTTTGCTTATCTGATATTTGTAAGATCCTTGCTCTGGACAAAATCCTTTCATATATAGGTTGCTTAGAAGTCCGTTAGGAAGGGGTATGACAAAACACCACACACAAAAGAATCTTGTTGGAGGAAGAGACAGCAGTTTCGAAATCCTCTCAGATCTGACTTTCAGATTTATTGGTGGAATTCAGGATTTTCAGACTATAGTCTTAGTTTTTTTTTCGTGTGTCTGTGTGGACTGAATTGGGGTTTTCAGCCACTTCTGAAATGCATTAGATGGTTTTGATGCACTTAAGGAAGGGGGATGACAAAACACTGTGCCTTGTTAATATAATGGTAGATGAAAAAGGAATATGGGTTTATTGAAAGAGACAAAGGTTTCTAATTCCTCCTATAGTTTTCAGGACTGTAGATGAAATCCAGATTTCGAAATTGTCTCTTTCATTTAACCTATTTTGAGTATTTGAAACTATTATCAAAAGTCTATTATGTTAGAAAAGGGAACAGACAAATAGAATAAATATCATACATTTTTAATTATCAGAGATATAATACTATGATTTACATGATTGCTTTGTACATTGTGTGGGCTAACATGGGAAGTGTCAACACTCGACCTGAACACACCTTTGACAGGCATCATGTATCGCCAAGGAATTCCTGGCGACATGTGTGCTGGTCAAAGGTGAGACCGAGGCGAGTGCTCTACACACCAGGTCCACACAAGCGACTGTGAGTGAAGGAGCTCGTGGCACTCAGTTGAGCACGCGGTAGGAGGTGGCGTGACCGGGGTTGTGGACCACACGGAGGAGCTCGGCGTCACGAAGGGCGGGTCCAGCGGCCGCGGCGTAGGTGGTGGGGACGTGGGCGGCGTTGTAGGTGGTGAAGGCGGTGGGTGGCAGTGTAGTGAAGAGGAGAAGCATAGGCTGTTGGGTGGGCGTAGTGGAGGGGAGTGGAGAATCCGTATGAGAAACGGAGGGGAGAGTAGACACCGTGGGCGGGAGCCGCAAGCGGAGCGCTTCTTGCGGGTATCTGGGGCGGCAGCGGCGGCGGCTGCGGCTTCGTCGTAAGCCTGTTGGTGGGCGGCCTTAGCGGCGGCTACCTCTGGGGTGTCCTGGACGGGTTCGGGAAGGGGACCGGGAAGGGCGGCTAGAGGAGCAGCTACAGGGGCGTCGGGAGCCACTGGCAGGTTGGTGCCGGACACACGGAATCCAAGGGCGTCGGCGACGTAGTGCTGAGTCTGAACCTTTCCCTCAGAGTCCACGTAGTTGTATGAACCACGGACAACACCGAAGGCGTCGCGAGTCTCAGCGCGTGAAGAAGGACCACCGGCGTAACCGAAGGAGTACTGACCGAGTTCATCCTGAGCGTGGTACTGAGACTGGATAGGTGCTACAGTGCGAAGGGAGCTACGTTGTAGGACACAGGTGCAGGAGCCACGTTGTAAGATACAGGTGCAGGAGCTACTGTCTTAACTACAGGTGTTTTAAGGGAGAGAGCAGCTGCAGGAAGGACACCTGCGTATGAGTAAGGGTGCAGACCAGAATAACCTGCATAAGGATAGGCGCCAAGAAGGCCGTGATGGCCTCCATATACGCCATTGTATGCAAGCAAGGAAGCGCTGCTGCTAGCCACGAAGGCCGCCACGGAAATCACAGTCTGAAATGTAAAATCCATTTATCAGAAACATATTTTTGAAATTACATTTTGTCGAGGTGGAGATATCCCTGAGATATACACAAGAAAATTCCTTGTCGTGAGCTTACCAGAGCATTCATGTTGACCCACCGTCGAGGAGCTGTCTGTCGGGAAAAGCGGCAGCCGTCCCTTATATACCTGTGGGAGTCCAGACCATCCGTTGATGACGATGGGATGGGCGGGGCTCTTCGCTCCACATCCGGACATCCGGTTTTGCCTACAACTGTGGATACCGAACAAATGGGAAGAGCTATGAAAAATGATAGCGAAAGCTATAGAACGATTAAGCATATTGCAAGTAATTATGAATGATTAATACTGGTTGTAATTATCAATAATTAATATTGCTTGTAATTTGCTTGTAATTATCAATAATTAATATTGCTTGTAATTATTAATGAATAATAATGTTTGTAATTATTAATAATTAATACTGTTTGAAATTATTAATAAATAAGAATACTGCTTATAATTAATAATGATTAATACTGCTTGTAATTGTTAATATTTAATACTGTTTGTAATTATTAATAATGTTTGTAATTATTGATAGTTAATACTTGAAATCATTAGTAAATCAAAATACTACTGTGTAATTATTTATGATTAACGCTGCTTGTAATTATTAATAATTAAGAATACTGCTTGCAACTATTAATAATTAATACTGCTTGTAATTATTAATATTTCAGAATAATGCTTGTAATCATTAATAATCAATACTGCTTATAATTATAGATAATTAAGAATACTGATTGTAATATTATTCAGAATACTTGAAAAACATTAGGTTTCATTTTTATTGTTTATTTATTGATAAGGCAAAAGAGGACAAACACTTTTCTTATCAGGGATATTTTACAATTGAGTTACCCATTAAAAGTAAATTCCCCATGAATATTTATTTACAATATGTACAATGCTATATGCAAAATATGCAAGGAATATATGACCCGGAATTCCCCAGACGCATGTCTTGTAAATACTGTATGTGCTATTTGTCTCAATCCAGTATGCTGAAAATATCTTGAGTTGTATAATTTCACTTCCTATTTTTAATAAATGGATTGCTGAATGACAGGTTTTATCTTGATGTGTTTAATTGTCTGGGTTTCGTTTTCTAATGAATAAGGCTTTTATACTTTGGTGGAAAGATTCTTGTGCATTTTGTGCAAAGAGCTTACATCGACAAGGGAAATGAATATGAAAGAGAGTATGTAGGGTATGTGCTTGCATTTCCATACATTATACTAACTGCACTATATATATATATATATATATATATATATATATATATATATATATATATATATATATTACTAAATAGAACTTAGAACGTCGTTAGAGAGCATAACTCGACGTCAGAAAGACCAAGTTTGCAAGCACATGAAACATCAGAACTGCGAAAGGAAACACCAGTTCGAGACAACCTATACTGCTTCCAGACCAGAAAACCGAAATTAATCATACTTAATTCCATTATCACCGCATGAGAGAAACGATTTTTTTATATATATATCTTCCTCCCTTTCGCTGTATTTCATGTCATAGACTGGCAAGTTTCTGGATATTAAGGAGGAACATTGACTCTAAGCACTGCCAAGATGAAACACAGGTGACCTTTATGAATCGTGTAGCGAATTTCGCGGAGATAAGAGATGATCGAATTTCTTTAGAGTTTGATATACATTGCAGGTTTCCTGATACGGACATATTACATTTGTTATAGAAGCACAGTTATGGATGTTAATTTACCATTAAGTTATTCTTCATGAATTATTTAGGTCATGACATAAAGGATATGCGATATTGCTTAAATAGGGTCGCATGGAAAATGTAAACTTCGTGGTTTTAAATCTTCGCTGAAAGTTTATTGTTCCGAACGAAAACTAATTCTAAGGTCCTGGAAAATATGACATTGATGAAGATTCACCAATGTTATATATCTTCTTTGCTTATCTGATATTTGTAAGATCCTTGCTCTGGACAATAATCCTTTCATATATAGGTTGCTTAGAAGTCCGTTAGGAAGGGGTATGACAAAACACCACACACAAAAGAATCTTGTTGGAGGAAGAGACAGCAGTTTCGAAATCCTCTCAGATCTGACTTTCAGATTTATTGGTGGAATTCAGGATTTTCAGACTATAGTCTTAGTTTTTTTTCGTGTGTCTGTGTGGACTGAATTGGGGTTTTCAGCCACTTCTGAAATGCATTAGATGGTTTTGATGCACTTAAGGAAGGGGGATGAAAAACGCTGTGCCTTGTTAATATAATGGTAGATGAAAAAGGAATATGGGTTTATTGAAAGAGACAAAGGTTTCTAATTCCTCCTATAGTTTTCAGGACTGTAGATGAAATCCAGATTTCGAAATTGTCTCTTTCATTTAACCTATTTTGAGTATTTGAAACTATTATCAAAAGTCTATTATGTTAGAAAAGGGAACAGACAAATAGAATAAATATCATACATTTTTAATTATCAGAGATATAATACTATGATTTACATGATTGCTTTGTACATTGTGTGGGCTAACATGGGAAGTGTCAACACTCGACCTGAAAACACCTTTGTCAGGCATCATGTATCGCCAAGGAATTCCTGGCGACATGTGTGCTGGTCAAAGGTGAGACCGAGGCGAGTGCTCTACACACCAGGTCCACACAAGCGACTGTGAGTGAAGGAGCTCGTGGCACTCAGTTGAGCACGCGGTAGGAGGTGGCGTGACCGGGGTTGTGGACCACACGGAGGAGCTCGGTCACGAAGGCGGTCCAGCGGCCGCGGCGTAGGTGGTGGGGACGTGGGCGGCGTTGTAGGTGGTGAAGGCGGGATGGGTGGCAGTGTAGTGAAGAGGAGAAGCATAGCTGTTGGGTGGGCGTAGTGGAGGGAGTGGATGAATCCGTATGACAAAACGGAGGGGAGAGTAGACACCGTGGGCGGGAGCCGCAAGACGGAGCGCTTCTTGCGGGTATCTGGGGGCGGCAGCGGCGGCGGCTGCGGCTTCGTCAGTAAGCCTGTTGGTGGGCGGCCTTAGCGGCGGCTACCTCTGGGGTGTCCTGGGACGGGTTCAGGAAGGGACCGGGAAGGGCGGCTAGAGGAGCAGCTACAGGCGTCGGGAGCCACTGGCAGGTTGGTGCCGGACACACGGAATCCAAGGGCGTCGGCGACGTAGTGCTGAGTCTGAACCTTTCCCTCAGAGTCCACGTAGTTGTATGAACCACGGACAACACCGAAGGCGTCGCGAGTCTCAGCGCGTGAAGAAGACCACCGGCGTAACGAAGGAGTACTGACCGAGTTCATCCTGAATGGTACTGAGACTGGTAGGTGCTACAGAGCGAAGGGAGCTACGTTGTACACACAGGAGGAGCAGCATGCAGGAGCACGTTGTAAGATACAGGTGCAGGAGCTACTGTCTTAACTACAGGTGGTTTTAAGGGAGAGAGGAGCAGCTGCAGGAAGGACACCTGCGTATGAGTAAGGGTGCAGACCAGAATAACCTGCATATGGATAGGCGCCAAGAAGGCCGTGATGGCCTCCATATACGCCATTGTATGCAAGCAAGGAAGCGCTGCTGCTAGCCACGAAGGCCGCCACGGAAATCACAGTCTGAAATGTAAAATCCATTTATCAGAAACATATTTTTGAAATTAAATTTTGTCGAGGTGGAGATATCCCTGAGATATACACAAGAAAATTCCTTGTCGTGAGCTTACCAGAGCATTCATGTTGACCCACCGTCGAGGAGCTGTCTGTCGGGAAAAGCGGCAGCCGTCCCTTATATACCTGTGGGAGTCCAGACCATCCGTTGATGACGATGGGATGGGCGGGGCTCTTCGCTCCACATCCGGACATCCGGTTTTGCCTACAACTGTGGATACCGAACAAATGGGAAAGAGCTATGAAAAATGATAGCGAAAGCTATAGAACGATTAAGCATATTGCAAGTAATTATGAATGATTAATACTGGTTGTAATTATCAATAATTAATATTGCTTGTAATTATCAATAATTAATATTGCTTGTAATTATCATATTAATATTTGCTTGTAATTATTAAGAATAAATGTTTGTAATTATTAATAATTAATACTGTTTGAAATTATTAATAAATAAGAATACTGCTTATAATTAATAATGATTAATACTGCTTGTAATTGTTAATATTTAATACTGTTTGTAATTATTAATAATTAATACTGTTTGTAATTATTGATAGTTAATACTGCTTGAAATCATTAGTAAATCAGAATACTGCCTGTAATTATTTATGATTAACACTGCTTGTAATTATTAATAATTAAGAATACTGCTTGCAACTATTAATAATTAATACTGCTTGTAATTATTAATATTCAGAATAATGCTTGTAATCATTAATAATCAATACTGCTTATAATTATAGATAATTAAGAATACTGATTGTAATAATTATTCAGAATACTTGAAACACATTAGGTTTCATTTTTATTGTTTATTTATTGATAAGGCAAAAGAGGACAAACACTTTTCTTATCAGGGATATTTTACAATTGAGTTACCCATTAAAAGTAAATTCCCCATGAATATTTATTTACAATATGTAAAATGCTATATGCAAAATATGCAAGGAATATATGACCCGGAATTCCCCAGACGCATGTCTTGTAAATACTGTATGTGCTATTTGTCTCAATCCAGTATGCTGAAAATATCGTGAGTTGTATAATTTCACTTCCTATTTTTAATAAATGGATTGCTGAATGACAGGTTTTATTCTTGATGTGTTTAATTGTCTGGGTTTCGTTTTCTAATGAATAAGGCTTTTATACTTTGGGTGGAAAGATTCTTGTGCATTTTGTGCAAAGAGCTTACATCGACAAGGGAAATGAATATGAAAGAGAGTATGTAGGGTATGTGCTTGCATTTCCATACATTATACTAACTGCACTATATATATATATATATATATATATATATATATATATATATATATATATATTACTAAATAGAACTTAGAACGTCGTTAGAGAGCATAACTCGACGTCAGAAAGACCAAGTTTGCAAGCACATGAAACATCAGAACTGCGAAAGGAAACACCAGTTCGAGACAACCTATACTGCTTCCAGACCAGAAAACCGAAATTAATCATACTTAATTCCATTATCACCGCATGAGAGAAACGATTTTTTTAATATATATATCTTCCTCCCCTTTCGCTGTATTCATGTCATAGACTGGCAAGTTTCTGGATATTAAGGAGGAACATTGACTCTAAGCACTGCCAAGATGAAACACAGGTGACCTTTATGAATCGTGTAGCGAATTTCGCGAGATAAGAGATGATCGAATTTCTTTAGAGTTTGATATACATTGCAGGTTTCCTGATACGGACTAATTACATTTGTTATAGAAGCACAGTTATGGATGTTTAATTTACCATTAAGTTATTCTTCATGAATTATTTAGGTCATGACATAAAGGATATGCGATATTGCTTAAAATAGGGTCGCATGGAAAATGTAAACTTCGTGGTTTTAAAATCTTCGCTGAAAGTTTATTGTTCCGAACGAAAACTAATTCTAAGGTCCTGGAAAAATATGACATTGATGAAGATTCACCAATGTTATATATCTTCTTTGCTTTATCTGATATTTGTAAGATCCTTGCTCTGGACAATAATCCTTTCATATATAGGTTGCTTAGAAGTCCGTTAGGAAGGGGTATGACAAAAACACCACACACAAAAGAATCTTGTTGGAGGAAGAGACAGCAGTTTCGAAATCCTCTCAGATCTGACTTTCAGATTTATTGGTGGAATTCAGGATTTTTCAGACTATAGTCTTAGTTTTTTTTTCGTGTGTCTGTG